GAGCAGCTATCGTCGGATCATCAGGATGGAATGAGAGGTAGAGTTGAGTGTCATCAGCATAGCAGTGATATGAAAAGCCATGTTTCTGAATGACAGAACACAGTGATGCCATGTAGACAGAGAAGAGAAGTGGTCCAAGTACAGAGCCCTGAGGCACCCCAGTAGTTAGATGTTGCAACTTGAACACCTCACCCCTCCAAGATACCTTGAAGGACCTATCTGAGAGGTAAGAGTCAAACCACTGGAATATTCAAAAATTCATAAATCCTCTCCTGTGACCTCATGAGATAGGAAAGTGTATACTTGATATGTACTTCAGAATCTTGTCTGCTGTTTTACGAATACTGTGAATTTGACATACTCCTCTGTTCACATACAGTTTTTCACCTACTTCATTGTAAGGAAGTATGCAATTTTTGATGCAACTAAATTTGATAAACATTGACAAGCGCTCATAGACCGCTGAGAAGGACCAGCCTAAAACTCTAATAATCAAGGTCATCATTTTGGTCTCCTTATTTGCAAATCTATACAAGTTTTGCATTTACTAAATGTCTAGATACATGCTTGTTGACTAGTGCTGGCCAGCTGAAAAAATAATGATCATTCATAATTATGTTAGACTGAGCTTTAACCTATTTGAAGTTCTATCATATCTGTGTGTCCATTACATTATACACATCAGAGAGATAGAGAGAGACACTATATTTGATCAGTGTTGATGGACAACATGTTCTTTATGTATTTATGTTCTAGTACTGATTCTGTGTCGTTTCATCCCTATGGTCACTGTTGGCTTCTTTGTTTGGTAACCTCTTCAGAGTATCTATCAAAGGCTCTCTGTTTTTGGATTCTAACAGTGAGAGAAATCTGGTTATACTTTCCATTTGACTCAACTGATGCACATGTAGAGGTAGCTTAAAATCTGTGGTGTGTCCAGCAATAACTGTTTATTGTTTTTCTCCATCATGTAGAAAGTATCACTTCACCTCATAGGGATGTTTTACTTAAGTTTACAACTCAATATGTTAGTAGAAACTGTCTGTCAAACTCTGTGTCAAAGTGTTGTATCTTTGTCTTGTCTGTCTTGTGTTGTGGATTTTTAAGTTACTTTCTGTCTGGTCCCACATTTCGTAGTTATTTTGTAGTTTTCTTGTTGATTGTACTAGGTGTGTCTTGTTTGCCTTTTAGCCCTTGTATATGTAAACCCCAGTTTTTTTCTGTGTTCTTGGTTGAGTCTCCATTGTGGATGTATTGTTAGCATCCTCAGATCTGCACCTGTGATTGTTGGTTATTGCTCTAGTTTTTGGATTATTGTTTTGTTTGAATAAAGTTGCATTTGGATCCTACTCTCCTCCCCTGTCTCTGAGATCGTCAGCATTAATGACAGAATGACAGCCACTAACCCAACTACCCAATACTGAAAAAAAATAAAAATAAAACCCAGATTAACCCAGCATTTGGGTAGAAAAAAATAACCATTTGTGTGTGTAACCGGGCGAACGAGACGAGAGACGTGCAGATCCATTTGCAAGCTTTATTAGACAGATACGTAATCAATAACACAGGCAGGGTCGAAACACCAGCAACCAGGTATGGCACGGGCAAGACACAAGAGGGATCAGGAGAGCACCAGGGCGGATCATGAGAGCACCACGGCGGATCAGGAGAGCACCACGACGGATCAGGAGAGTACCACGGCGGAACAGGATAGCACCACGACGGATCAGGAGAGTACCACGACAGAACAGACTGATCAGGAACCCACAGCCGAGATTGGAGCCTAGGAAAAACTGAGACACAAGAGACAGACATAGCATTTACAGTCTCAAGGACCGAGGCAGGGAATACAAGAAGTTCATCAACAGTTTCCCTGGAGCCCACTGAACCCACAGACAGTTCACAAACAGGCTCACTGACTGAGACTAGACAGTCAGACAGTTCAAAATCTGGTTCATTGACTGAAACTGGACAGGATGACAGTTCATAAACAATATCACTGACTGAAACGGGACAGGCTGACAGTTCAAAATCTGGTTCATTGACTGAAACTGGACATGATGACAGTTCATAAACAGGATCACAGACTAGGACTGGTAAGGCAGATGGTTCAACAGACACACTTGGGGAAACAGAACAAGCAGACAGTTCATGAATGGTCTCTAAGGAAGTGACAGAGTTAACGTGAAAGACATGGGGTGCATTTATAGTCTCTGGGCTCAAGACAGGCAGGGTTAAGGGTTCAAAGGCAGGTCTGTGGGCTGTGACAGACAGGGCTGAAAGTTCCGTGTTAGTTTCATTGAGAGTGGCTGGAAAGACAAACCGTTCAATATTGGGTACATTGGCAAAGGCTGATTGGATTGACAGTTCACAATAAGATTCAGGAGTTGATTTAAAATGGACAGACAGTTCAACATCAGACTCATGGACTGAAACAGGAACTACCAATAATTCAGAATTAAGTTCATGAATAGAGACTGGTAAGACAAAGGATTCAGAATTAGACACACTTGGAACCAGTAGACCGGCAGACAGATCAAACCCAGGGGCATTGATTGAAACTGGACTGGTAGACATTTCAGTGAATGAAACTGAACAGGCAGACAATTCACAGGACAAACAGGCAGTTCAAAAGGAAACTCCTTGACAGAAACTGGATAGACAGACTGTTCATTCTCAGTCCGATTGGTTGTGACTGGACAACCAGACAGTTCATTAGTGGCCTCTTTGGCAATGACAGACAAGGCCGATAGTTCAAGGACAGCCTCTCCAGCTGGGTAGGGACAGGACAATGGTTCATAATTGGCCTCCATGGCCAGTTTAGAACAAGCAGAGAGTTCACAGACGGCTGCCATAGCCGTGACAGGACAGGCAGAGAGTTCACA